GTCAGTAAAATCCGTGACCAAATTCAAAACGAAAAAGACAAGTGGCACATACGGAGTTCCTCATACTTCTGAGTCAACGCTCGCACGTCAATTTCAGGAGCTTCATCGCGACCTTTGGTAGGGGGGTGAAGCGGGGTGTCCCGATCGACCTCACCGGAGCCTGGTTGAGGTACATTACCTTTGAAGCTCGAGCCGGGTGTGACGCTTGGTGGCTGAGTGGGTTGAGGTTGGGGATTCTGTCCCATCGGCTCCGATGGCTGCCTCAATCCTGTTTGCCTCTCCATTCCGCTTTGGGTCGATCCGGTTGGCGGCTGAAGCGACTGTCGAAAATGAGATTTATGCTGGTTAGATTCAAAGCCTTGATAATGAGGGTTAAGAGGGGAAGGGGGTCCAAAGGATTGCTGAGACGGCGGCCTTGGAGTAAGATAAGGATCTAGTTGCGGGGATTGGCTACGAGGACCTGATACCTGGTCTGCAAAGGCTTGTGGTCCACTCAACTGATAGTTCACACTTGGATGCTGCAAGTGAGCGTGGTCAATCTGCAACTGGGGATGCGGCGCTTCAGACAGGTGTGGGCCCTCCTGATATTGATGTACCGAGGAATTTCGCGGCGGATAAAGGTCTTGGGAAAGTGGCTCAGTACTCACGCGTTGAATTCGAGGCGGGTCAAAGGGCTGACCCTCTATATTTGAGGAGGACCGGTTTACGGCGGGGGGATAAGGGGGTTGGGACGTTTTCTTTGATAGAGGCATACGGCTCTGTGTGGGTTGCTCTTCTTTAGATTCTAGGTCAGAATTAGATCGATGGCTGTCCCAATCCTACTATTCCTAGAGAATGTCTAACCAGGAAGCTTACGTCTCACCGATATCGTACGGCCAAGAACCTTGGAACCTCGAAATGAAGAGTCCTTGTCCTTGTGTTTTGAGGATAATCCAAAGAGGCCTTTTCTGAACTTGCGTGGCTGGGATTCCGCTAGAGGAGAGGCTTCCGAGCTATGAGGAGTATAGGGAGGCTCAGTCGAACTCAGGTCGGACGAACTACCTAAGCCCAAAGACGGAGACGTAGGAACCAGATTCAATGTAGGTCTGCCCCTGTGATGCGAAGACGTTGGAGCCGAGTCTAGGAGCTCGTGGCTGAATCTGCTCACGGCGTGGGCGGGGTGGGTATAGTTCTCCTCGTAGTTTTGCGTTTGCGGATGCACGGACTGGTCATTGGCATAGGGGTACGGCGGCTGGTAGGAATGGTCGCCGGGAATCACCAATGAATAGCGGACAGGTGGGTGGGTATTGGCGCCTTGTTGGGGTGGTGGTTGTTCGCTGTTGTCTTCACCACTTGCCTCGAAGACTTCCGGGAGTGATGGCTGCGATTTGTTTTTATGGAAGAGGCGCATGAGGCTAGCTGGAGAGAGCAGGAAGGAGGACCTGTTCTTATTCTCGTCCCGCCCTGTCGGCGAAGTCTCTGTTGTTCACGTTTATTAATGGCCCAACTAGCGCCCGTGTCGACGGAGGGAGAGGGACAGGGGATATGGTCAAATCAACGCCGGGCGTTTCGGCGGGGTGATTCTCAAGGTCCACGATCTCTAGTTAATCACTCCAAACCAGGGTCAGCAGTTGCCCTCTCTAATGCGTAAACAAATGAACTTGCAGATGCATACACAGATGCCGATCGAGTGAGGACGAGGTGGCCTTGTAGGAGGGGTAGTCTAGGGATGCTAGAGTAGGTCGGCGGCCTCCTAGATAGTTAAATGGGGCACCTGGGTGGGAGAACCTATGAGGATGGACGACGCAGCATCGCGAACGAAGGGGATCTGGAGACGCACAAGAGAATGCCCAGGGTCATGACCAGGAAGTCGAAGAGGAGGAATCGATGATGGAGCCGTGAGGATGGAGGCCGATCGCCTGGCGAACACGAGCAGCCAGCTCGCTAACTAACTAGACTAGGCGGAGTGCCTTCAGCCTCAACGACGACGCTCTTCGCCAACATCAACAGACTCAAAACCACCGACGTCTTCTCTCTTCTCTCTCTTCTCTCTCTTCTCTTCTGTCTCACCCCAACTCGCCTGTTGGGTTGCGCAGCCGGAAGCCCCAGTTATTAAAGGATATTAACTCTGCATCTACGCTTGCTGGTCTGCACGATGAACTGCATGGTCTTACATTTTGACCCCCAAATTCAAGCCGTGCTTCCGCCACCCCTTCTCCCGTCCCTCTTTCAAGCCCAAATCTCCCTCCTGGTATGATCCTTTTAACTTGCGCGCCAGTGCAGAGCATTGAGCCCTTGGGAACTCAGATCCCCCCTCCAGGAACCCGCAGTGGACTCGCCAACTCCGAATCCGCTTTATCTCCCGCTTCCTGACCACGGTTCCATCCGCATCGCAGCCCAGGTTTCCCGGGCTTGAGAACCGAATAACCTGTCAGCTCTTCTCCGAGGATCAAGCTCAAGCATAAAGGTGGGGAGGAAAACAAAAAGATCTCACCGTCTTCCAATACTATGACGCTTACGCCACCGCCCCCAACGACACTTGGCTTCGGCCTAGCAGAGCTTATCGAGATGAATGCAAAGCAGAGGAGCATTCTCCAAATCCAATTTTGATAATTCGCTCATGTCACAATCGTGATTGAGGACATGTTGAAGGTTCGTCAATTGAAAGTCACGCATCCAGCCTTTTCTCTCAGCCGCCCCCGACCTGCCAGGTTTCCGGTCCATGTTCCTTCTGGGCCTAATGACTAGGCTATGCATTCAGAGCGTGCATCACTGCATACAACTCTTTGCGCCCTTTAATCCATGACCGTCATGGACGGACACTGCATATATTAAGCAACTGTCCTTGTGAAATGTAGCTAATTACATACGTTGCCAGGGGAGTTGGGCCTGACTGTAACCTTTCTCTCCTTTCCCTACTAAGGCTTTCGTCACTTCACTCTCTTATAATTAATATCCGGGTTCAGCTTCCATTGATGTTTCTGATCTAGCAAGTATTCGCAATTCTCTCTCCAGACTTGCCGGATCAGCGTTGCTCGTTCGGGACTCCGTGGTTTAATATCTGCCTGGAAGGGTTTCAGGCGATTAATCACGCCAGGTCTCAAGTCCTTGGTGTTTATGGGAATATCGTTTCCGTCTTTGTCTTTCGCTTGCGAAGTGTCCAATGCCCACAGCCAGCGTGAAACTACCATAAACAGGCTTCTCTCTGCCAAATGTTGCCCGGGACAATGACGGCGCCCAGCGCCAAACGTGAAAAGAAGTTGGTTGTCTGGCCGAGTTGCATCGAGCTTGCCTTCCCAGCGCTCCGGTTGAAAAATATGCGGCTCCGGATACATACCTGGGTCGCTGTGGATTGCATGCGCATTGATTATCAGCCCAGTGCCTTCAGATATCTCATAATTTCCCCATCTGACTGTCCCATTGGCGACCCTTGGGAGACACAACGGAACTGAGGTGATCCAACGCTGAGCTCTATTGATTAACCCAATCAACCACGATGTCCAAGAGAAATATCTTTAAAGGGGCCACCTACTCGAGAATCAATTGCTGGATATACGGGAGGCTTGCTGTATCTTCATACTGTGGCAGCCTTTCCGAACCTACAACGCGATCAATCTCTTATAATTTATTAGTCTCAAAATGGCAAAATCGGGACTCAATATCAAACCTTCTTGCGCTTTGCGTTGCACGCCTGGGAAGAGACATATAGCAGCGACGAAAGTAGTCAAGACCGACACCGTCGTGTCTGTTGCACCGGACAACAAATGCTGGCCAATTTCGGCGCCTTCTATTTCAGAAACGCCTCTCCAGCCCGACTGCAACCTTTCTTGGATCGTTCGATTGAACGATGGCAGGGTTGTTCCTTGTTTAACACTTTCTTTTACTGCAGTGTAGTTTCTCCAAATAAATCTCTTGTGTTTCTCCGCAAGCTCCCTAGCCTCCCGGCAGATTGGGAGCAAGTATATGGGCAACTTCCATAGGACCGGCCAAAGGTCAAGCACATTACCCCGAACGCCAACCCTAGACAGCTCGTATAGATCTTCAATCGTCTCTTTCACGATTGGGTCGTCAGACGATGTGATTCTGTAGCCGTTCACCATCGTCATCCCTACACTATTGGTGTATCGTTCAAGGTGGTCGTACCAACAATGTGGTTTATTGAGCATATCAAGGAGGAGCTGCTCACTTTCCAGCTCCTGGTAAGGGAGATATTTGCTCGAAGCGCTCGAATTCAATACAGCATGCCACATTCTGCGTGCGTGTTGCCACTTTAGCCCGTTCATCACGCTGGGAAAGTATCCGCCTCGCATGAGCAATTTGAAACGAGACGGGGGTCGACTCTGTGTCCGAGCGCCTTGTTTCACGAATATCTCTCGAGCTTCAGCGAGCCCGCTCACGATGACTTGTGGCTGGCCTCCTTGCATCATCGTATATACTGGGCCATATTTCGATGCCCACTCCGTGTATTGATGATGTGGAAAGAACGAATCGCACTTGTAAAAAAAAAGTCAGAGAGAATCTCAGCCTGCCTCAATTTGTTGGATACCAACAGACCTGCCTCAAATTACCCCATATTGCTTGAGTTGGCGGACCCGGGGGTAGAACCGCTGGACGCCGACCAATTCCGAGCAGACGGTAGAGCAGATAGCTCAGGGCCGCGATTAAAACGACGCATCCTAGTGTTGCTGTTGAGAACGGCAAGGCTCGGCGTATCGTCGCCATTGGTGCTGCCGTTGAACCAAGCAAGCTTTATAGGGAATACAATCAAGTCCAGGGAGTCAGCGTGTGTCCATGCTAGCTTTATAGCTATATTATTCGCGACCGCTCTCGCACGTTAATCTCGCATGCGGGGAACCAGCTGCCACCTCGCTTGGAAGCGGTCTCCTAAATATAGCGTGCGTGCATTTCAATCTCACTTGAGCAGAGGGAGACGTATGACAAAGATGGCCGACAGCAGCCTCGCAACTGCCCGGTAATTCGCCTGTCAATTCAGGCTACAATACCGGCTTTTTTGTATTTGGGCCTCGAGTGGGCAGGAGCAAATCGGCGCTGCATTTTCCGTATAATCGAAATATCGGCGCCATGATGTCCGCGGGCAATATCCAACGTGACCCAGGACCCGAGCTCCAAGATGCCCCTGCGAATCATGGAGATCCTCACGAGTCCTTGCCATGCACGATGCTCATTCGAGCAAAGCTTGCTCCAAGAAAAGAGGACGTTGCTGCGAATCGTAACTGAAGTGCCTCAAACAATCGAACCTGCAAAGCGTCACTTGGCACTTCAATGCAGCACAAAGCAGCTCTCTTTCGAATTGAGCCCAAAATCATGCTAAAATCATGCTAAAATCATGCGTGGTTACGGAGTATTGATGCAATCAACGCGGCATCGCCGTTCCGATTTCTTGCTCGGGTGGTATTCGAGGCAATTAGTGGCCTGCGGAGGAAACAAAGGAGATTAAACACCCGCATCACAGGGATTGGACGACTCATATTAATGTCAACGATAGGTCTGTGCAACCAGGACCCCTACAACGGCAGCAGGCTTGCCAATCATTGCCAATTCTTCCGGAAAGTCGCGTTGCTTGACTCAGGACTGGAGGGTTATTGGTAACTAGTTGAACCGCGAAGATATTCTCGCAATGGTAAAGGACATGTTCGTCTGGGCCCGCCGCGCTTTAGAATAATAGACTTGATTATCTGAATTTGGTCAAAGACTCAATTGTTCTTCGCTGATGAGCATTTCTACCTTTTGATGTAAACAAGCTACCCCGATCATGGGGATTTCACCGGTATGATCACTCTGGCGATTCAAACCATACAAATTGCCCGGGGAGCCCACTCTCGCCGTACATAATAATAGAGATCTCTTGCAATCTTTCTTTTTTCTCACTGCGCCTGAATGTGTCTGATGGACTGGCCAATCGGCGGAACGGCAACTAGAGTATAGCCGACGATGTTGCTGTGGTAGTCAGTTGCGTGGATGAGCCTAAAAGAGAGCTCAGTACACAGAAAACACCGACGAAAGCCCATCGGAATGAACATACTTCGAACTTCTACACAGATAAAATACCCAGCCCACAAGCCCTCACACGTGTTGCCAATCGAGCTACCAAGCGCGCCTATAAGCATCTAATATCGACCTCAACAGCGGAAGGACAAGAGCAACATACGGATTCCACGCTACCAGCTGATCCTGAGAACATCCTTCAACTTTCCAACGAGTTTAAAGCACGTATCGCCCTTTTCAACCTTATACCAACGGCGCAGTTTGGTGCAACACCCGATTGTGTCGGACTCGGGCCGGTTTGTGTCACGGTCGGTACGAGCGTGCTTGAGCGTGACGATGGCGTCGTCAACGTGGTGGATATATGTGTCGACTGTGTTTTTGTGGATGATGACGGCGGAGGCGGAGGCGGTGCATTCACACAATACGAGTAATTGGTGTCGAAGCCGCTGCAATCATCTTTCACCGCGGGATTCTAGGAACAAAGCCACAAGTAAGCCGCAAAGGAAGGGACCAGTTCCGGGGGTTTAATGACAAACCCAGGATGTGAATTCATACTGCGAGAGCTCGAATTTCTCCAGTATGAGGGGGCATGCGTTTTTCGTCGTGATTTCATTTACCCAAAGCCGGCACCGCTTCGTCGTGTCGAGGCCGACTAAACCTGAGGGTTTGAATCCCAACTCCCAAAAGAGATCCGCGGCGGCAGTCGAGAGAATGGCCGCTAGGAAGAACATGAGCGGGTACATGGTGAGCTATATAAATGGCTCTTGATGGGTTGATGCACCGTGTATCAAAATCCCGGGTGAAGGCTCTTGCACCTATATAGCAGGTCAACATCATGCTTCGTGAGTCGAGCATAATAAAACTCCCATGATAGTCGGGCGAAGAGACGCGACGGGAGAAAAAGGGACTGTCATTTTCTAATAAGAAAAATTGGTATGGATTCCGAGATTTTAATTGTTCTGTTTATCCATCAAATTCTAATCTGATCTTTTTTCAGGATAACAAATCTCAAGAGTCTGGATCCGGCACATCTATCTGCCGCCGTTCCCTGCTTTACTAACGAATATAAATGCATTGTTTCCAGCGGAGAGGATCCGGAAGACAAAGAAAGAAATGGGACAGAGTATGCCCAATGTCGCCTCAATAGAGAGTAGAAATGAGGGTTCCTTGTCCTAGTTATCTGTTGGCTTCAGTACACGCTTGAAGTGCATTAGCTGGCATTGTAGCACATTTTTCATGCATATCAGAGATGAGACAAGATGGTCGGCCCAAAAGAGAGTCCACATATCCTAAGATTTTCATGGAGAATATAATCTTGATATCACTGGACTCAGCCAGTGTTGGGATTCAAGCAACAAGGGAACAACTCCCTAGCTAGTTAATCCGCCCTGGTAAAGGAGCTTCATCCCCATCCACAAGTTCATAGTCGGCCATAGAAGTGGCTAGTTTATTCCTCTCAAACAGTTGGGTCACCGTAGGCCGCACTATTCTGCTTATGGGGATAAGCAGGCAAGCTATCCAAATAAACCAGATCCATATTGATACATGTGCGATGTGAAGTCCTCTTCGAGAAACGTTAGTACAACGTTGGCAACAATGATGCTTGCCGTAAAAGGAAGACAATGTATCTTACAAGGCAATGTTGAGCCACCCGAGAATAATAATGGCCCGCCCAAATAATATATGAGCAAAAGTGATGGAGGTCCTTCGCTTTAATTTAATAAACGCAAGATGATGCCAGTATCCGATGCACGGTTGCACCAGGAGAGAGCAGAGCACGAATATGCCAATCAACTTGTGTGTTCCATGCCTGTCCCCGATCTGTATCCAAAAAGAGTCAGGCTAGGTGCCAATCGGGGGAACTTTATAGCCTTGCATACCTGTATCCATTTCTTGGATATTAAAAGCGCAATGCTCATCCCACCTATAGCGACGGCCACAGCTGCGATTTGTACGATCCAATGCCTGGAAAAGGCCGATTTTCCGCCTAGTCGAATGACCCAGACGGCCACTGGCATGGCCAACGTGAAAACAACGGCGAGGATGAAGCCATGAACTTGGAATAGAAAATGGCGGATGTCACTAGGATCCGATTCCAGAGGTTCATGCTTCTCTATGCCTCGATCGATCGCAAGGATTGTCAGGTTATTTATTGGCGGAGACATGGCGCGTCCATGGGCCATGTTGAGGCGAAATGCCCCTACATCCGGTGTTAAAATGCTGTACAAGACCATCGAACGGGAGCCAGAACTCACCGTGGCCATGATGCCCATGGTAATCCAGCGGATAATCCTTCTTTGCCGTTTGTATGACCTGAGAGCCATGCAGCGCCCATATCCAGGGTTGTTGGTCTGCATTCACATCAATCTTACCACCAGACCAACTGTCGCACGAATAGCAAACAATGTGAACACTATGATAGTCGCCGTCCAGCGAGGCCTGTATCACCTCATATGACGGGATATCAGCATTCGATTCGGGAGAAACATGCCCACTGCCAAAGCACACGTTTAAGCCATGCGTAATTCCCTGATCAAAATGGTGCATATTGGCCTTACTTTGCAGTCCTCAAACCCACGGTCACATCTAGCAAAAGGCATCAAATCAGCCCAGATGTATGGACGAGGTAAACGAGAAGTGAGAATGAACGAGCATACCCCCGTCGTGTTCACCGGGATACAAGACAAACATCAACGACCCGTCCATGACGGCACCTGTTCCAAACGCTGCCCATCCCCGACGGTCCGTAAACTTGGAGGAGAGGTGGAGGTAGATGTCATGACTTCTGGTCGTTTGATTTCGATAGGAGGCCAGGGCGAGACACAGATCAATCGACTTTGACTCGTCAATCTTGCAAAACTGGACTTGGGCATTGCTTAGACAAACGAGGGCCAATGCACAGAGCAGCAGAGGCCAGGATTGCCCGCGCATCATCTCTCCTTGTCGGTGATCCTGAGCACGTTTTGCCTTTTGGCTAAGCGTGCGAGTCAAGGGCAGTCTTAGCTATGAGGAGTCGGTGGTCAATGAATGACATTCGAGAATCAATGTGTACCTGATTTGACTGCACTCGGGGACTTTGAGCTGGAAGAGTGGTTAGTTAACTAGTTAACTAGACCGGATTGTAACGGAATCATTGCTACCAGCCCACTAAAGGGATTATCATCGAAGGATATACGCAGTGATGCGACAAATGTCAAACATAACTCATCAAATATGTACCGTAGTTAGTTGATCCGTAGCTAAACCTGTAACCGATAGATTGATCCCCTCAACAATGTACGATTAGCATTTGTAGTTGAGAGAATTCCCGATGCTCTGTCCAGTTTGGGCAATGGATTGATGGATGGTTTGGATGTCTGAACAGCGTGTAAGATGGGACATATATCACTTTCAATTGAAATTGTAGAGGAGCTGATTTCATATTTACCACCTGGAAGCCTCCATATGATAGTTGGAAAAAGATGCCTTGCGTTCTTTGGCTTGATTTTCCGTTGATTGTTCTAGTATGGATGGAATGCGATTGAAATGGCAGCTCTGCGTATCTTTTCCCTCCCAGTCAAACTTCAAAACTGTCCAACTCTCAGCGTTTCTAGCATCTCCTATTCCAAGGTCTTTGAAACAAGAGTAGATCCCTTATTGCGTATCCAAGGACAAAGCTGCACACTTCTTTACAAAAGTCCGAGAAATCAACCGCTTGAAAGCGCGGCGCGATCGAGCGTCATGAGAGCCTCCCAGTGCTCTAGCCGTGTTCCTGGATTGAAGATGAACAAGCCTAGACTGGGCCAGCTAAAAATCTTCAAAGCGTCAGAGGCTTTCATCCCCTTCACTAGTTTGGCGCCCGGCATCGCCACGTTCTGCGGAAATTTCTCTACATATCTCACCTGCAGGTTGTCCAACAGAAGCCTGCTTGTCAAAGGAAAGTATGATTCTATACCAACAACGCACAAACGAAAATCCTGCTTCCCCTAGTCATACTGTACGGCGTACCGAGGATGCAAACGCTAATTGTGGAAAGCGATCACCGTTGTGTCACTGTGGCTATAACCCTCCTCGGACACTTATTCTGTTTCCAAACGCCATCAACCGCCCTTCCAGCTGGAACAATGGCAATCGACTGAAGAGCAGAGAATGCCATGGCTTCCGGGTCTTGACTAAAAGCCTAGTGAAGCGTGCCACAATGATGTCTCGAGCCCGCTCAAGAGTAAAATTCAATGCCCTGGAGGTGCCTGTCATATGCACATGGTATCACACTGGTCCAGGCAGGAATTCAGTACCTTAGGGCTGCTTCCCTGCATCCTCACATAAGCTCACCAGCTTCCCTGCTCGGTTTGCCTGGCGGTAGCCAAGCTTATATGTAAACACAAGCCCCACGTTCGGCCATTTCAAAGCCCTTTTTTCGAAACCTTCTTGCTGTCAAATATTGTTCGGTTGCAAACCCATCTCAAGGTGTTTGCCCGGCAGTTCCCCATGAAACGACCCATCTAGGCCCATCCAAAGTAGAGAGAAATAAGAAAAATCAACGCTTGATGAGCACTTTCAAAACACTGACAATTGCTTCAACCTGGACCGAGACCGGGTGGTTTATCAACAGGTCCAGAGTGTTGATAATCCACGCCTCTCGCCCCGAGGTTTGAGCCATCGACACAAGTCAAGCGTGCGCGTTTCCGGTCCCAATTGACGCCAGACAGACAAAGCAATAATGCACAGCTGTTTCAGAGCGCGGGAGTGGTCGACGCAGGCTCGACTGCTGGTTATCATTGGGGTCTCAATTTTGTTTGTGCTGGCTGAATTGGCCGTCGGATTTACCACGCAATCTCTGGCCCTCGTTGCGGACGCGTTTCATTATACAGGAGACATTCTATCCTTTGTGGTAGCGCTGCTGGCAGACCGGGTAAATGAACGCTTGTTTTGAGAATGATAAAGAAATGCTAATGCGCGGATTCTCGATGCAGTATGCGGCATCTCCACAAAAGAACAGCAAAGGGAATTACGATAGGCTACCTCTTCTTGCAGCCTTTTTCAACAGCGTGTTCCTAGTTGCGCTAGGGCTTGGGATCTTCTTGCAGGGTATCGAAAGGTTTATTCACCTTCAAGGTGGCAACGCATCAATGCTTAATGAACGAGGCCAAGTCAATGCTAATAGGAAAGTGTATAGCGGTCTCGAATCCGAAATTGGTCTTGATGATGGGATCTATCGGGCTCTTTCTGAACATTGTTTGCGTTTTCGTTATGAGATCGCAGGGTCACCATCATCACCACGGACATAGTCACGGCCACAGCCACCGCCACGAGCACTCCGGGGAAAGCAGGCCACCAAGAACCAACGCATGTGCAACGGGGTCTGGGGATCTTGAAGCAGCCGAGAAGCACACTAAAAGCGGGACAAGCCTCTCGATAAAAGCGGTAATTTTGCACATTGTAGCCGACGCGCTGAATAACCTCGCCGTGATCATCTCGGCCCTTATTCTGTGGAAGGTTCCCTCGCAGCATCCGGATTTGCATGGGGAGGTTGGGCGCCAGCCGAAATATTATGCGGACCCGGCGTGTACAGTGTTCATCGCTTTGCTCATCATGGGCACGACGTGGCCATTGGTTGTGCGATCGGGGAAGGAAATACTTGGGATTTCTGAGACTGGATCGGGAGCGATATCACCGGAGGAGGGGAATATAGAGGCGGAAAAGTGAGGGTGGGATGGCTGACGGGTGAGAGAGCATGCCTTTCCTAGGTTAGCTGCAGATCATAGATGTTGGGTTTCAGTTCAGTTCAATTTTCTTGCGTTTAGATTAAGCATCAGCACACGATGCTGTCCAGAGCAGGGAGAAGATTAGCTGGGAGGTGAAGGATGGAAGGGTGCAACTTCTTGGCATCGCCTCAACTTGAACAACAATAGTTCCGCTGCAAGGCACGACCAGTCGACGAATTCCATTCAATTTAAACCACCACACCCGCGATGAGGTATACCTTCGCCAGCCGCCGTCTACCGCAATGCCTCCAATACTCCTCTCGCGGCCAAGTCCAATACCGATCCAGCTCCGCCCTCCGACCATGCTCTCTTTCCGCCCGCTGCCAATCCTCCCTCCTCCGCCGCCCTCAACTCTACTCCCCGCTCCGCCCACATCTCCGGGTTACCATCCGCTACCGCCAGATCCACATCCCCATCCCGCCGCCCCTGATCCCTCCCATCGTCTTCACCGGCCTCTTCTTCACCCTCTGGATCTACAAATGCATCATGATGGTCGTTTTCCAGAACCGCATCATCTACATGCCATCCATGCCGCCGGGGGCGAGGAGGGAGAAGATCGAGGACTATGCGGGGTTGTGTGGCGGAGTGAGATGGGTGGAGAGGCGGACGAGGGCTGCGGATGGGGTGGAATTGGGGCTTTGTGTGAGTGATAGTGGGAGTGAAAAGGGGGATATCGACGTAGATCGGCATGTGGTGGTGCTATATTTTCAAGGGTTAGTCGGGCAAAGTTTGAATCTGCGTTCAATGTATTTATGTATGATTGTATTTGCAATACTAAAGGTGGTTTGGCTTGAAACATGAGTGTAGTAATGCGTCGTCCCTCCCTCCCCGATTGCCGCTCTTATCAGGAGTGCTTAGCGATTTGGAGCGAACGTCTAGCCGACGAGTCAAATATACACTCGTCGCCCTCTCATATCGTGGCTACTGGACATCTCGTGGCAGAGCGTCACAGAAGGGAATCGAGCTGGACGCACGGGCAGCGCTGAGCTGGATACAATCGGCCTATCTCAGAGATAACAGCAGATTATCATCAAGCGCCCAAAAGAAACACGAAGACATCCTCGTCCTTTGGGGACAGAGTATCGGCGCGGGTGTAGCCACAGGGTTGGCCGCCCACCAAGCCGAGCTGCCTGCTTCGGAACAGACGCCCATCAAGGCCCTGATCCTGGAAACGCCCTTCCTGAGCGTACGCAGCATGCTCGTGACACTGTATCCACAACGGTGGCTTCCCTACCGGTATCTATGGCCATTTCTGCGGAATTGGTGGGACTCTGAAACGGCGTTGAAGACGATGGGGGAGGCGTTCAAGAGACGGGAGAAGCTGCAGGAGCGAGGCGCCAAAGGGCCAGAGAAGATGCCGGTTTTGATAGTTTCGGCTGCGAACGACGAACTTGTTCCTGTGCAGCAGGCCGACCGGCTCGAAGAGATATGTGCCGAGGCAGGGCTCGAGGTGGAGCGGCAAAGGGTAGCTGGCGCATTGCATACAGATGCGACAATTCGTTCAGAGGGGAGGAACGCGGTGGTGAGATTCTTGAAAGGAATTGGCGAGAGCTAGCTTGTCAGTGGTAGTAACTTGCTGATTCTTTTTTTTTTTTTTGAATTCCCGCAATGACTCTTGCTCCATAGTGGTAGATAGTGTCAAAGCCAAAGCTGACAAACGCTGCTTCACAGCTCCCTTGTCAACAAGCTATCTCCTGGCAGGGCGTGGCATGAGGGTCATCAGATGTCAAACACAAAGCATGGCAGCAGGGTCCTTCATCATTCGCCCTGATTAATAATGAGAAGCAGGACAAGCTTCCCCGCAGTCTATCAAACAGCTTCGTCTGCTTTTGGAATTCCAATGCGCTTCGAGTGCTGTGATTCGCAAACAAGCGAGAATTGCGTGATCAGAGTGATGACTAATGCCCTGCGCACTCACCGCTGATGTCATAGCCCCGAAGCGGTTTAGCGCCGTCTGACATGGCCCGTGCCCCTCCCGCTAAAACTGGCCAATCACGGCGATTGTTGATTTCGGAGTGAAAAAAAAGAAACAAAATCTCGATATCACAAAAAGACATCTCGGAATTCAACTTCAACAGCAAAAAGCAGCCTGTGATGGGGCCATGAGGGCGAGATCCCGCTGCCGTCTGGGGCCCTCTCGCCCTCTCCTCCGCGTTCAAGCGCGCTGGAGTTTGCTGAAAATTTTTTATCCAGACTGACTGATCTGCTCCACAGGACAAGAGTCAAGCTCTTTTGTTATGCGGTCACCGCCAGGACTGGACTCCCCGCTAGAGCCCACCGTCCCGCAACATGTCAATAACAAGGGCGCGGCATTGGCTTCGTTGCCGGCCACCCGGAACCCCAGCTGGTTCCTCCGCCGTACCTCGCCGACGGGTTTGACAGCAAAGTGGTACGCCAAAGGTACATGCAGGGATGCTGAGCACGGCCCAGCGAAAAAGAGGGTTTTGCTGGCGAGACTCACAGGGCGGAAAGTCAATCAGCAAAGTCTCCTTAAAATGGGTTTCAAGCTTGTTGGTTTGTTCGTCCAGATGACTCAAAGGCGAGACAAGTTGGTGGCTAAACACTTTGATCAAATGTCAATCCTTGGGCGTGAGCTGGTTGTTTCGGCTTCTCTGGCATTATTAATAGAGAGCCTTGCGGACTGTCCGTCTCAACTTCTCGCGCAATACTTATATAGATGTACCTCGCTCATCCTGGTCTTCACCAAGAGCGACTATATCAAGTCACTTGACACACGAGCAGCAAGATCTCCAAGCCACCCAAGAGGCCTCTCCCCTCCACGCTGCACTTGATTCCTTGAATACTACCTTGTCTCTCGATCGTTGACGTTGCCGTCAAATTCCTCCTCCTCTTTCCTGGAGCTTGATACATCGCAACCATCATTGCGCCGCCCAAGCTTCCACGATGCCGTCCTCTCTAGCATCTCGAAGCTCCGGGCCGTTCGAACCCTTTGCCCGCAAGGGACGGCCCTCTGTGCAGATCACCCTCAGGGACGAGCTGCCGCAGCCGAAAATCAACACCTACACCACTCGCGATACCATCAAGGGAGAGGTGACCCTCAGCGCTGAGACTGACATTCGATTCGATCAAGTTGCCATCTCTTTCGTTGGCTCTACCAGGACCATGATCGAGCGGCCAGGATACGCCGGTCCCACGGTCGGGCAATCCTCTGCGTTCCATACCTTCCTGCGACTCGTGCAGCCCATTGAAGATTCACAATACCCCCAGCCCAGGATTTTCGAAGCAGGCCGCAAGTACACGTTCCCATTCACCTTTGTCGTTCCCGAGCGCTTGCTTCCTAGCTCCTGCAAGCATCCTGTCAACCATGTCCAAGTGCAAGCAGCCCATACCCATCTCCCACCGTCTCTCGGCGATCCCATGCTTGCCGGCCGCGGCTCCAAGCTGCTCGATGATATGTGCCCGCAAATGTGCCAGACCCAGTATCAGATCCGCGTCAAAGTGCAGAAGCTTGCTCCGTTTGACTCCGTGCCCAGGACCCTCGTCGACACGGGCAAGAAAATCCGCATCATTCCCGCCACTGACGAGGAGCCCCCGCTGGAGGTCTCCGCTGATAGCGAGGAGTTCTGCATGCGCGCGGAAAAGGATGCGAAGAAGGGTGCGCTGCGGAAAAAGTTTGGTCGCATCGCCGTGGCAGCGGCCCAGCCGAAAGCTTTCCGCCTGCCACCTGTTCTCTCAGAAGACGACCCGTCGACTACGATGGCAACTCTTCACCTCCGCTTTGACCCAGACAACGAGCACCAGAAGCCCCCCCGGCTGGGCTCCCTCTGGACAAAACTCAAGGCCAACACCTTCTACTCCGTCCAGCCCTGGTCTGATTTCCCCAGCCGCTCCGCCAAACTAACCTGGAACCACCACCGCGGCGTCTACACCGACACACTCTCTCTCGCATCCCGCTGCGTCGCCTCCGCGTCCTGGGAAAAGCACACCAGCCCACCTTCCTCCCCGTCCTCCTCCTCCTGCACCAGCAGCCGCCGCTCCTCCATCCAATCCACCTCCACATCCGCCTCCCTCCCGGGTCCCACCGCCTGCTTCTCCGGCAACACATACTACACCGCCACCCTGCTCGTGCCCATCTCCCTCCCCCCGCAAAAGGCCTACGTGCCCACCTTCCACTCCTGTCTCGCCTCGCGCACCTACTCCCTCGACATCTCCCTCTCCTACACCCCGAACGGCACCAGCTCCTTCGCGGCACGCCAGACCATCGCGCTGCGCATCCCCGTGCAGATTGCCAGTGCCGAGAGTCTGTCCGCGGTGCTCGCGCGCGCGCAGGAGGTGGGCGTGCAAGGCGAGGAAGGGGAGGAATTCTTCACGCCCCGGATCATCACCCCGCCGCGAGCGGAGTTTGTGGAGCAGGCGAGACTCGATGGGTTGAGTATGTCGTCTGGTTCGGCGCCGGTGGAGCCGCCGGAGTATGCAAACGTGCCGAGATCGGGGGCAATGGCGGCTGCATTCTAATCTTCTTTTTTTAAAAGGTGAACAAAAGTATTGGTCTTTATTTTTCGTTTGGGTGTTTGAGCAAAGTGGTTAAATGTTTATTGGCTTCTTTTTTTTCTATGAGGGCCCATCGGGGAGTCTTTTGCAATTCATGGTTTTGTGTGATACCCACCAAACTGCTTTTAAAAACTTGTTATTACTGTTCCGGCGTGATATTTTGACATGTATCTAATAATAATCCAGTATACTGACTTAATCTCTATTGATCCCCTTGGGTCCTGATGCTCGGGTGCCATGTTGATGTTGTTAGAAATGATCAAGACGTTGAATCGTCCATGATGACTTGCTTACTGGGTTGGTTTACTATAACTAGTTGGCAAGTTTGAATCCGCCTATTGTTTGCTCTTCTACGAATGAATTGACATTCCTTCAAGACACAGTGCTGAAACGAGCACAATCTATTTCTGCAGGTTTCCAATATAAAACACGTTTCACTCGGCAAATATTTCGTTATTATGATTATTATTATTTATTCATCTAGTTGCTGTATATCATCTCGCCTCGATCCTACACAAAGACAAAAAAGTACATTTCGGCCAACATAACCACAGAAAACGATCCGCATAGCGCGCGTTCCTTGTGGGAACGACCAGCCTCTGGTCCCTGGAGTCTTGTCTCCTCGCTCCACATCAAGCTCCACAGTGGGAAGGGGGATCATGCGCAATCTCCAGATTGCCGATCAGCAGAGCAGGGGTGGGCAGTCGATGCACACACCGAGCCATCCACGCCATCCCCAAGACTGCACAGCAGTGGCCGCGAAAAATACGTAAGAGTGCGAGGGGCAAGATGCAACATGTGATAGGTATCAAAAAATAAGCCCATGTCATTATCCAAGGCCGATTTTCCCTGCAGGGCAGATAGATAGATCGTAGAAATAGATCAGGGAAGAAAATAACAAAAGAGATAACTCCAGTCGAGCGCCTCTAGCTAGCCGATGATGAAATCAAGCCGATCCAAAAAGTAGGTTTGAGGTTAAAGACACATAAATCAAACGCCGTGACATGCCATGATTTTGCAGGGACTTTTGGGAGAAACTGCCAAGTCATGAGATTGAGGAAAATGCAGTGTTCGTCTTTTTTCGAGTTTCTTTTTTTCATTCAGGGCGGTTTAGGAGTTCGTAAACGGTGTCTGATAAATTATTCTCTTCATCTCGTTTCCTTGAGCTACTTCGTCGCTGCAGGAAGGCCGGCAATAACCCAAGTTTGCGGGACGGCGAAAACGAACGTGGAGAGTTCAAGATCGCGCCGGATGGGCGGTTGGGGACGGGAGAATACCGGTGGCAGTATTTCGAACAGAAGATAACGAGCCGTCGATATCCCCACCATAGAAAGGAGCCGACGATACCGGCGAGCACGAATCCAAGGACGGTGAGTAGGACCCAATGACCACCCATCTTCAAAAACGAAAAACTGTCAGTCAATGAAGTGTGATTTGCAAAGTTAAGAGAAGGCAACGCACCCAAAAGATCAACCTAGCATCCTTGCCGTGCCAGCTGCTGCCGGGATGATGAGTAAAGAAGCTCCAAGAGTGTTTGTTGTATTCATCCGCCATCATCACCCGAACACGTTCAGAGCCTGTGGGTCGACCAGCCATGTATTCCTTCCAGATCACCGACAGGAACAAGGGACCTGTGGAATACATAACCGTGATATAAGGCAGGACCCAGTGCCGGTTGTACGTCTGCAGCGAGTCGATAACACGGCGGAAAAACGGGTGTTGGGGCACAGAACCCATAATGTCGTTGGAAATTCCGGTCGGGCTGGTCTTGCGGACCCAGGCAGGGTAGACGAGAAGGGGATCTAGCCGACGGTTGCAGCCCTACGAAAAGCACCCAGTCAGTTTTATCGTCTCGATTGCATTAGAGATAGCCTCACGTCGTCCAGGTCGATGTAGATTCCGCCATAGTATGCGAGCACAAAGTATCTGATGGCGTCGGCGCGCTGAATGGGGTAGGGATAATTCTTGAACGTATCTAGAAACCAGGGGTACTGGGTAGCGATAAACTCCTCTGCCTTGTCATCTGTCCAGAGCTGTGCTTTGGGTTAATATCTGCATACGGCGGAAAGGTGTATCGACGAACCTTGTATTCATAGTCTGGGTGGCGCTCGAGACAGGTCTGCTGTGCTTCCAGCCAGATGGCCGGAATGGACTCGTTCTTGTAGGTCTGATGGATAATCTTGGGGATGAGGGGCTCTTGCTGGTCGATAAAGGTGGAGTTGGGGGCAGGCAGCTCGGTGCGACTTATGGCGTCGTCGGCGGCATCTTCAAAGAGGAGGCTGAGGAGGGTTGAGACGCTGTTGACGAGGAAGGCGATGACAATGATGTTCGCGATTATGAAGACCAAGGCTCCCCTCCGCATGGTGATGGCGAGGGATGGTCTCTCGAGGGCACGACGGCACGAAAGACCGGCAGAAAGGCTGGCAGCGCGGTCAAGGGAGCGATCAGAATTTTCCCAGGCACGCGCGAAAAAAGGAGCTGCGGACGGAGTTGTTGGAAAGCGGTGCGGCGGGCAATTGATGGTGGAAAAGAGCGCAGAAACGGCGAGGCGAGACAGAAAAAAAGAGCGAAAGAATTGCGATCGAGGAAGAGGCTGGATATCAGCACCGGTTTGAGGGAGCGAGAAGAACCTCGTTTACCCCTGGATGCAGTGTCGACAAATTAAAAGCGAGTAAGCTCTAGCTAGGGGGGGCCTGGATGGGTGGCTTGGGGCGATCTCCACTGATGAGACAGGGAACGCAGGGAAAAGAAACAAGCGGACGCAGAAGCAGAGCGAGAGGAGACGGCGGCATCAAGGGGATCTGTTGGGAGGGCACAGACTCACAGACTCACAGTCACTGCCACAGGTCGTCGGGCGTGAGGAGGAATCTCAGCGCAGGGATGGCAGCCAAGGGGTTTGTGGGCAGAGATTTCGCCGTGAGTTCACGGTTCATGGCGCGGGTTTGGATTTTGGCTCGAGTTAGGCACGTCGACCGTTCCCTGGTTCGAGATCCGATGGAGCACGATTCCACGCCGAGCCTTCACTCAAAATGTATGATCTTGAGCGGGGAAGCAGGCCAGCAACAACAAGAGGCGATGCTGCACGGAGTCGATGATATATAATTATATACTCTGTGTTATATGGCGGATTGATTGAATAAATATAGATAAATAAATAAACAAATATCCCGCTCCTTCTCTTTTGGAATGCCTGAATTCATGCCAAAAAGGGAAGGAATGAAGCTGACACTCCCAATGGGGCTTAGCGGGAACATGTCTTGGCAACGCTGTTTATTCCTAAAGCGGCCTAGCGTAAGTGGCTGGGTCGCGCTAGTCTAAGCTCGGAGCTTGTTAGTCAGCAATCACTGCCCAAGCTGCAGCCAATAGAACGGCGCCCCTCGCTGTTTGCTCGTGTTGTCCGCGTCCTCGTTTGACGCGCCGACCGCTGCGGCCGCATGCAGAACGCGACAGCTACTATGCGACCTGCACCCCCAGCCGTTGCATCCAGTCGACAACTGCACCAACCGTTCCCTCTGGGTCTTCCTCGGCGACAAAGTGTCCGACGCCGTTTCCCAGCTCAACCACCGTCAGCAGCTCGGCCGCCTTGCCGTCAGCTACCCACTCCGCCCACACATTCATGTCAAACCGCCTCCCGATCCCAGCGCAATGCAGCACGAGCACAGGCACCTCGATCTTCCGTCCCTGCTCCTGATCCGCCTTCTGCATCTGCACGTCCACCGTCGCCCCGGCCTCGTAATCCAGGCATGACGAACGCACCACGCTCTCCCACCGGAACGGCCGCTGGTACATCTCCATCGCATCGTCCGCCTCCAACCTCCTCCGGCCCTCCTCGTTACTCCCCATCCAGCGCTCCATCAGCTGTCGGATGAAAACGTCCCCTCCCACCTGCAGAATCATCTGCGTGGCCAGCTCCGCGTTTGCCAAAAACGCCCAATGGAACGTGCCCCGGGCCTCGGCGGGGTTGGCCATGCCCTGCCATTGCACCGTCGTGGGAACGATGTCCATCAGCACGGTGCCCAGGATGCTCAATGACGACGCATACTCTGCGGCATCCACCGTGAGGCGATGGCAGATCCGTGCGCCGCGATCATGTCCGATGAGGATGACGCGCTGTGGCTGCGCGGCCTTGGCCTCGTTGATCAACCGGGAAAGCCCGTCCAAGATCGCCCTTCCGACCGTGGATTTGCTGTGGTCGGATTGGCAGGGTGAGCTGTGCCCGTAGCCAGGAATGTCCGGGACAAACAGTCGAGTAGTCTTGGGGAGAAGCTTGATCACCTAGGGAAGCCATCAGTATATTTGGCCAGGCAAGTCCTCCTCGATCGCGCGCTTACATGTCGCCACCTGCAGAGAGTCCAGTTCAAACACGTTAGTTCCCTTCGAACCTGCAATAACTTAGGAGGTGCTTGGATGCACTGACATGAAATACCTAACATTGATATTAGCTATCATTCAAGACTTGAACGTCTCATCACTCACGTCTGCGGATATCCATGAATCAACACCAATATCGGCCCGTCGCTTTTATACTCTGTATCATCCCATTCTTCCTTGAAAATCCCTCTGTAAACGCCATAGATAGTCGGCCCAACCTCCGTCTCGGCCTCAAAAGTGCTGAGATTGTAGTCAGCAAGGGTCTCCGGCACTGTTATCGCCACCATGATTGGAGATTAAAATACACAGGCAGCCGGTATGTTGAAATTGTGCTTGCTCCCACAAGTTACGAGGATACATAAGTAGCCCCAGATATCCTCGTCTGAGTCAGCGCGATGAAATGCGACCCGCATCCTATAACGGAGTCATAAGCATGAGACTCTGCGGAAGTTCTCCGTTAATCAGCAGCGACCTCGAAAGGCTGGCCTCGCTGAACGCCATCGGATGACACGATTCCCATATGCTTGGAACTACGTAATTCGGCCCGGGGTTCAAGCAAGATTTCCCCTCCTTGCTAGCTTTCAACCGCGGCCGGGGGACCCCTTGTTGATATCGGGCGTGTTCCAGAGATGGCCACGCAGGCCAAGCTAGAGCGTCGAAACCATTCTCAAATCAAGGATATCAACCACAGTATATAGTTCCTAGTCGTAAACGCTGGCACACCTTTTCCCAGATAACCCAATGATCAAAACGCCTAAAAAGACCCGGAGCGGAAAGGAGGTATATACACAAGCCCAAAGAACCAAAAATATATGCAGCAGCCCTGCAAATCCAGCACATGCAACGTTCCAAACACAGCTAATCCAACCACAAAAACAAAAATACCCTTCAATCCCTCTCCATCCTCTTTTCTGCCCGCTTCACCTTCCTCATCACCTCCATATACTCCTGCACCCTCCGCTCCGCCCAAATACACCCGCCAAACGTCATCGCCGCGATCTGCAAAAACACTTTAAACTGCGGTGTCAGGCCGCGATAGACTTTGGATATGGGCGCGAGTGACTGGGAGAGGGATGTGAGCGGGCCGTAGATGCTGGCGAGATTGATGGGCGCGCGGCGGAAGCGGGAGCGAAATGAGGAGGAGGCGGAGGAAGGGGAAGACCGGGTTGGAGGGGCGGGACTGTGGTTGGCGAAGTGGAGGGGGTGCGGGAGGACGAGCAGCATATGTGCGAGGATGGAGAGGGAGCCGAACTAGAGATTTTTCCCGCACGGGTGATTAGTATGGGTATAGTTAAAGGTGTTGGGACCTGAAGGATGCAAGATTTATTCGGGTAGAAGTAATAGAAGCATACCCGTACTGCACCGGTCAGGAATCCCTTGATACCTTCCTCCGTGACCTGGTCGGGAGGCTCAACGTCCGCTCGGAGATTTGACGGAGGAGGCATTGGCGATTCCTTTCCAGCGACAGATAATTGAGGATGGTATGGAAACGGCTGACTCTTTGCCCTTTCCTACGTGTTCAAGCTGTGCTATCGTGAGGTTGGTCCGGGAATCTCAATGCGGGATCTCAGATGACGTTGGTCTCATTCAATGCGGGCAACATCCACCACCACTGCGCAGCGCAAATCAGCCAATTTGTGTCTCGTTGGAAGTGCCAGCAAACTACCTTTCATGGAATCCGCCAGCTGCGCTTCTTCTCTTTTCTTTGGCTCTATCGACCCGCAGCAAAATATCACGATTTCCTGATTTGGACAGATCGGAAAGCCGCGGATTATTATTCTTCCATACTCGGAGGCATGTTATTCCGAATCAAATTGCCGAACTAATCAAACAAAGCAAACACAGCTCTCTCAATCAGTTATCCGACAATCTTCAAATCCATCGTTCAGTTCGCAATCAACACAATTTAAGTCCACCATGGCGTCCCTTCCCCGCCGGACCACCTCCCTGACGCGCCTCACTAACGAAACGAAGGTCCAAATCTCCCTCTCCCTCGACGGCGGCGTCCTCCTCCCCTACGAACCATGCGCTCACTTCCCCCAAACCTCCCCAGAGGAAGCTACCCAGATCGTCCCCTCCCCCGAATCCGCACACGCCACACAATTCACATCCACGCAGCAGATCACGATAAGCACCGGTATCGGGTTTCTAGATCATCTCCTCCATGCCCTGGCGAAGCACGCCGGGTGGAGTCTAGCCGTGCGCTGTAAAGGGGATTTGATCAGTACGTATTCCCCCCACCCCCGGGGCCGCCGTGCGGGTCTAACCCCAGATCAAGATTCCGTTTGACACCATGCACTGTTTTTACCCGGCTAAATCATCGGTTGATACCATGTCGAGGCGGAGGACGCTGGCCTTCACCGCCGATATATAGGGTCGACGAGGATGGGGAAGGAGGGGAGATGGTATTC